TTATGCTTATTACCACAATTATAGATATAGATTAAAGCTACAAACAACTTCTTTTATGTCTTTCCTCTGAGGAAAGATGTTCCATATCCTATCAGGTTTTCTGTCACACATTTGGTGTTTTAAAGTGCCCCAGAAACATTTTGCTTATGCACAAAGAAGAGTTCCCTCCTGTCACCTGTGTGACCCTGTAAAACACGCAAGACTTTATTATTTGTACGCATGTGCTCCATATGTGCAAGAGCAGTTGTTTTTTTTTCACATGTAGATGTGCAACTTCAAAAGCACAGGAAGTGGAATTTTGAGAGGGGAAACCTCCACCCACCCAGAGGGTACACATGCACGCGCACATGTTCGCTAACCAAAGGTGAACTGTGCATAACAAATAGTAAACATCTCTGCCAACAGCTTCTGTTTATATGGAGGACACCCCCCCATAATATTTGGATCTTGATGACCTCAGTCAATTAAATAGGCCCTTTGTAAAGCTTGAAATATAAGCCATACATTGCAAAGTTATTTGCGATTACCTAAGTAAAAGCCTCTTTATTTTATCTGTGCTCTATTTTTAGTTTAGGGAGACACGCCAAGCCTCATATTACATGACATGGTGCGGATGGAGTGTATCTCACCTGCAGCGCTGATCGTATCATGTTATTCTCTGACTTTTTACTCATCTTCTGATTTATCCCCACATATGAGCTAATGTAGGTGAATACAATGCAATTTCTCCAATTACAAGGCCACCTGTTAAATGAATTGTGGCTGTAACTTACAGGTTGTAGAATATGGTGAAAAAAGCAAAACAAAATGCATTACAGACATCTAAAAATATCAACCCATGGTAAGCTGACCATAATATGATGTAATTTATGGTTCTTGTGATGTAAAGATATTTATGAAAAATTATGTCACTCTGGGTTGTTTATTGTAGAGAGCTCTCAAGGGTTGGTCCCTTACCAGAGGGCATAACCTTTGACAAAATGGTTGAGACATTCAAACCCCAAAATCGTAGTGGCTCAAAAGAGTGTTGCATGCAGGTGGTGTTTCTCAACTTGTTTCTGCACTCTGCTCATGACCTCTTGAACTGACAGCATTTCTAGTGCCCTGCAAAAATACTCTTCCAGATTGCAGTTTCTCGCATTTTATGGTGTTACAATATTATTTTCAATGTATTTTATTTTCAATGTATTTTATTAGGATTTAGAGAGACCAGCACAAAGTAGGGCATTATATTACAATAGATCCTACAAATATAATACAATTGCATTAATATCCCTTTTAATAGGTTGCCCTTAAAGGAAATCCAGTGCAAGATCATGTCTTCAGAACTCACTAAATTGGCAAATGAGTCTACTTGTGATCAAGACCTGTAAACAAACAAAAAAAGAGTAGGAGACAATGGTAAAAAAGATCAAGACATAGCTCTCCTCCTAAGCTGACAAGCAGGGAAAGGAGAGCAATAATCAGAGAATCAGTCAGTGGGCTAATGGAAACTGGAGGAACTGAATAAATTATCAGCAAGGGTGGGTGATAGGAAAATGTTTAGCTGTCTGACACTGACAAGAAGGGTGTTATTAGAAAAATATATCTGTGAAAAATGGCATACCTTCATTTAGAAGGTATGCAATATAACTTTTGATTCAATAACCTTTATTGAATCAAACTGTCCACTTAGTGAGCAACATTGCTTTACAATGACATCCCAGAATTGTTTTTTGGGGCGGGAGATGTAGGAATGACAACAGTCAGAGGGGCCTTGCTAGAGCATTACAAACATGGCTACGCTGGAGGACTCAACTGTTGATACCGCAATTGATTCTGTTTTTGCTAAAATAGTGACTATTGCTATGAAAGTGCATTTGTCTACACAAACGGTTAGAAACCAATCCTATGGTTTCTAACCGTTTGTGTAGACAAATGCACTTTCCTATGGTGATAGCATGAAGGCCCGACGTCCACAGATGGGGGGTGTGTTCACAGCCCAACATGGTGTTCTCTGGCATTTGAAGACCATGCCATGCCTCATCAGGAGCTTGCCCAGGCATTGCAGGGAGGTCATACAGGCACGTGGAGGCCACACAGAATACTGAGCCTCGTTTTGACATGGTTTAAGGACATTACATCAAAGTTGGATCAGTCTGTAATGTTTCTTTCCACGTTAATTTTGTGTGTGACTATAAATCGAGGTCTCCATTGGTAAATTTTCTCTCATTCTGCTGTATTTGTTCAATCAACGTCTAACTTTACGTCTAACTTGTTCTCTCTGCTTTTTCTCATCAAAGTACCATCATCTGGTCTGTTCCTCTTTGGCTGTCCCATCATCCGGGAGAGAAATATCATCTGTGCTGCTGCCACTTACACATTTGTTTATAGATGTTGGAGCTTGGCTTGTGTTCCAGTGTAGTCCTGTTTTTCTTCCTGTGATTACCTGTATGTGCTCTCTTTCACCTTCTTACATGGGAGCTGGCTCAGAGCTTCCCTGACTGGCTGTGTCTTACCCAGACGGGGCCGCCTCGGGAGCTGGTTGACAGTTAGTTTTGAACCAATCTAACTGTATGATCTGTTTTAATTGTCTCTGTAAAGTGCCTTGACATGACGTGCTATGAATTAACACATTTAATTTCCATTGATTATTTTTTGTGTGATTTTTCTGTGAGCACTCAACTTTGTACAGAACAAATTATTTAATAAGAATATTTTATTTATTTAGATCTAGGATGTGTCATTTATTTTTTCAGCAGTATCTATGTATTTCTCTCTCCCTCTCTCTCTCTCTCTCTCTCTCTCGCTCTCTGCAACTAGTGATTATTTTGATAATCAACTAATCTGTTGATTATTTTCTTCATTAATTGGCTAATAATCGGACAGTGAAAACTTCCTTAAAAAAGATTCTATTCAGAATTAAACCAAGTGAAACTAAAACTTTTTTTACTTTCAGCTCTTGATAGAGCAAACTGAAAGGAGAAAAAGTTATTATCTTTTTTATCTTAAATGAAAACTATATTTCTTTCACAATTTTGTATAATTGCTGCTCTGAGTGGATTGCTATGTTAGCTAAAGGCATGTTTTAGAGTCTTTATACTCAAGTAAATGATTGAGTGATTGCTAAATTAGATAAAGATTTATTCAATAATCGATTAATCACAATTAATTTGAGTAACTGTTTACTCTGACTCATTGCACACTAACTGAAATATTTCAGGTAATTTATTGTCTTAATACAGATGATTTTGGCATACAGCTCACGAAAACCCAAAATTCCTATCTCACAAAATTAGCATATCATGAAAAGGGTCCCTAAACGAGCTATGCACCTAATCATCTGAATCAAAAATTTACTCTTAACTCCTACAAAAGACTCCTGAGGCCTTTAAAACTCCCAGCCTGGTTCATCACTCAAAACCCCAATCATGGGTAAGACTGCCGACTTGACTGCTGTCCAGAAGGCCATCATTGACACCCTCAAGCAAGAGAGTATGACACAGAAAGATATTTCTGAAAGAATAGGCTGTTCCCAGAGTGCTGTATCAAGGCACCTCAGTTGGAAGTCTGTTGGAAGGAAAAAATGCGGCAGAAAACGCTGCACAACGAGAAGAGGTGACCGGACCCTGAGGAAGATTGTGGAAAAGGGCCGATTCCAGACCTTAGGGGACCTGCGGAAGCAGTGGACTGAGTCTGGAGGAGAAACATCCACAGCCACCGTGCACAGGCGTGTGCAGGAAATGGGCTACAGGTGCCGCATTCCCCAGGTCAAGCCACTTTTAAACCAGACACAGCGGCAGAGGCACCTGACCTGGGCTACAGAGAAGCAGCACTGGACTGTTGCTCAAGTTTGCATATAATTTGGAAATCAAGGTGCCAGAGTCTGGAGGAAGACTGAGGAGAATGAAATACCAAAATGCCAGAAGTCCAGTATCAAGTTCCTACAGTCAGTGATGGTCTGGGGTGGCATGTCAGCTGTTGGTGTTGGTCCACTGTGTTTTATCAAGGGCAGGGTCAATGCAGCAAGCTATCAGGAGATTTTGGAGCACTTCATGATTCCATCTGCTGAAAAGCTTTATGGAGATGAAGATTTTATTTTTCAGCACGACCTGGCACCTGCTCACAGTGCCAAAACCACTGGTAAATGGTTTACTGACCATGGTATCACTGTGCTCAATTGGCCTGCCAACTCTCCTGACATGAACCCCATAGAGAATCTGTGGGATATTATGAAGAGAAAGTTGAGAGATGCAAGATCCAACACTCTGGATGAGCTAAAGAAGCATCCTGGGCCTCCATAACACCTCAGCAGAGCCACAGGCCGATTGCCTCCATGCCACGCCACACTGAAGCTGTCATTTCTGCAAAAGGATTCCCGACCAAATATTGAATGCATGACAGTACATAATTATTTGAAGGTTGACTTTTTTGTATTAAGAACTCTTTTCTTTTATTGGTTGGAGGAAATATGCTAACTTTTTTTTAGATAGGAATTGTGGGTTTTCATGAGCTGTATGCCAAAATCATCTGTATTAAGACAATAAAAGACCTGAAATATTTCAGTTAGTGTGCAATGAATCTAAAATATATGAAATTTTGCTAATATTTTGAGAAGGACCTGTACCCCTCGTGCATATCCCTCGTGCATATATCTATATATATATATATATATA